AATATCTTAACCTCCGTTTGCGGTACCCAACAGAGCAGCAGTAAGGGACTTATCGCGCTGCCACCCGATCGCGCAAGACCCCCTGTAGGGCCTCGTCACTGCTCCAAAAACCCCACCCCCCCCTGGTGTTTTTCGATTTGTGATTTTTGGCAATGCCGGCGCTTCGCGAGTCCCCCTTACTGCTGCTAGAAGAGACTGTGGAAATGGTTGATTTACATATTGAAATATTGTCGGTGGAAGTATGTTGACTAGAAACTGCAATATAGCACAGGACAGAAGAATTTCGTTATCGCAGTCTAAATCCAGAGACTCTTCAGGGAGTGGGGCCGGTAAAGTAGATATGAAATGGCAAAAGATGTAACACAATTGGATGAACCTGATGTTGTCCATATTAGTTGAATCAGTAAGATTCTGCGGCGCACTGATTTGTGTGCAGTTTGCTGCCATTAAAAAAAAATGAAATTCAATACCATTGACCAATCTGCAGAGCTTACTATTATTTGTATTTGTGATACAAATCATACAATCAGTAAAAGTACTTGCATGAAATAAACTTGAAAGGTGACTCTCCAAACGCGTACCAGGTACCTCCTATCTTTAGCGAGAAACTGCATTAATCCCTCTCATCTGTAGTCGCTCATTGTTAGATCAAATGCTTTGGTAAAATGAACAGTGCGAGCACGTAATCACGCATTTATGTCTATTGGTGGTAGCACGACTTGAGCGTTAAAATTTTAAGAGTTACGTAACTCTTTTCACGAAAAAGACTTCTTTTATTCTATTCTTTGTTGAATTTCATTATAATGCCAGCATATTTATAGTCGGGCACTAAAACCTGAAATATCACAAACAGGCTTGGGCGTATCGAAAGGAGCAACTACTAGTACTCAAAAGGAAAATCCACTGTTTTGCAATGTCGAAAGTTTGGAGGCCGTGGGATGAGCCAGGAACTTCTCAAACTACTTCGAAGAAAACAGAAAGGCGTAAGTTTCTAATGTAACTTACTAATGAAATCTCACGGTCTTGAAAATAAATGCAAATCTGTTCCACTTTCAGTGAAGAAAACACCGGGAACGTCCGAGATGTCAGTTATTAAAGAAGCATGGATCAGTGAAAGAACCAGAGGTTGGGAAGCAGTAGCATTATGCGCCAAAGAGTTGATTTTAAGCTCCCACCAAGTGCCACCAGAGGTTWAGACCTACTACRAGAAGTCTAAGYTAACCGCCATTGCGTCCAGGTGCCAGAGGTGCGTTAAAAGTAATGTCCATGTTGTGAATGCGGAAAAGCAAAGTAATACACGCGAAAGAGCAAGTGACGAACAAAAGAGCAAGAACGAAAGTTCTATCCAGAAGAAAGACAAGGAGCCCCACAAGCTTTCACAGAAACCGCAGACATCGTTTTTAGGTGATAGCTCATGTGACGAGAGAAATGCCGATATGCGATATGCTGACATTCAATAACCAGAAGAAAGAAGAGATAGAGAAAGWCGAAACGAGCGAAAAAGGAAAGAAAAAAAGAGTGACGAAAAAAGTGATAGCGATAGAAGTGACAGCGACGAGCCACGTACCAAGAAAGCCAAAGACAAGTCCAAGTTGCGGAGAGAGGCTCTTGAAAAGCATTCTTTGATGTGTAATGCGGCTTTAAGTACAATGCAGAAAATGCAAGGGCTTTTCGATAAAATTGAAAATAAATTTGAAAATTTASAGTTGTAAAAGGAGTGAGAGCGAGAGACAAAAAAGTCGTGTCTAGCTATCGTTAGCGTTCCTAGGAATTTTCTGAATAGTGTTAAGACTGGTGTGTGTTTTAGTGTAAATGAAAATATGTCGCTTTCTAAGAGTTGTGCATTTCATATGTTTTATGAAATTCTTGTATTGACCATAAAGAATTGATTTGTGTAAAAATGGACTTTTTTTTTCTTAGACCATTACAATGACTTTCCCAGCTGTCTTAGTCATGCAAATATACGGTTTTCACGAGTTCACACCCGCGTAAAACGTAGCGTAAAATAATCGGACTTATGAGAAATCTCTAATTAAACAGATTAAAGGGTACCAACTTCCAAAAATAACTAGAAAGCTAAAAATGCTTGGAAAAAGGAATCCTGATAATAGTAGTYCTGGTAAAAAGGCCATTTTATGCTTTGAAGAGATTCCAGTTATATATTCATGCTCCACTTTGCTGGAAAGTAATATGTCAAGTAGCGAAGTTGATTTGTACAAGTTGTTTAAAGAACGCTGCACATTCTTAGAACGCTCCGTAGTTTCCAAATAGTTGACTCTAATTTGTTTATGTTGTAGCTTGTCATACCGGCTTAAAAGACTTAGAAATTGCAATTATGCGATGTGTTTGTGTTTGTCCAGGTGTATTTGATTCAATGTTTGCACATATGAGTATAAATAAAGGACCTATAAGCAGAATAGATTCACTCTCAGAAAGCAGAAAGTTTCTTTTGGGTGTATCAAACAAAGTTCGTGCAGAATCAAAATGAAGACACTTTTGGCGGGAATTCTGATGCTGGTTGTGGCCGTTAATGCTAAAAAACCATGCCGTAAGTAAGCTAGAACATGTAGATCGATGAAAGGAGGCGTTGCTGTTTTGGTATCTCTAGTTTGGCTCAGTTGGTAAGAGCGCAGGTCTCGGTTGTGCGGGAGGTCGTGGTTTGAGTCCCGGCCGGATCCCACTCAGGGTTTTAAACTTTGAGAAGGTGCTGCCTTTGCATTAAGATCTGCAAACGGTTAGCCCTTCAGGTCTTCTCGGATTAGGAAGCTAAACCATAGGTCCTGTCTGTCTTTACTTACTGCTAACCTGTATCATGGGGACTTTAAATAACCCGTTGCGCTGTTCGAAAGAGTGAAGGATTGTCGACCGCCCGGTACAACGGTCTGGTCTTACAGACACACTCTAACCCCACTGATTATTGTAAACTGCGTTCCAGCAAACTCGTTGCCAACGCACCTTCGTCTTTTTGCCCTTTGTGAGCACAATGTCAGCTTCATGAGTGCTTTGCACCTACTCCTTCTCCGCTTTGCAGCTCGTTACCACTGCGATCATCTCTACTTGATCATTGCGTTAGCTAAACAAACACTTCCTGAATCTATGCTTTAGCAGAGCCTAGTAAATTTATTTAACTATTTCATTTAGATATCGAAAAAAAAAAAATATCGAAATGGTTTTCTAAAATTGAATTTTTTGTTTTATCGTAGAGGTACCAAAGCGATCTGTTGGAGACTACATTACGGTAAGTTAAAAAAGATTTGTTCAACGGTGTAGAGCTTTAATTTTTCAATGATTGTGAAAAACAAAATTTCAGCGTGCAGCTCGCATTTACCGAGTTCGCATGTTTATGGAAATGGAAGGAACTACAAACTCCAAATCTATTTCTTTTCCTCAGTCTGTTTACAACATTAATACCGACAAGCTTGTCATGGCTTCTGGTGGGAAGATGTACTACGATGAAAATAACAAGCGCATTCGCGTGGAGGGGGAGCATGAAGGCAAAAAGTATACTGTATTAATCTTCTATAAAGAGGTATTGTAGAATTTTAGATAAACATTTGAGTGTTTTTGTTTCTTTCAATTTTGTGGTAAATTTTGGATGAGCGGTGAAAGCGTTGAAAAAACATACACTTTAACAATAACAGCAGCAGTTTTGTTTTTCCTCATCATGCCCTTTTTCCTTAGATAATGTCTCTTTTCTTTGTCTATATTTTTTGAAATTGTAATTATAATCTTAGTTCTAACTTAACAAACTGTCTGCACTGTAATATTTTGTGTATTTCGATGCTCACAGGCCAAACAGTACGTGATGGGCAAGGGCTACTGCTACGCTATGCCCTCTAAAGGAGACTTCAAAGACATGAGCATTCCTGATAACGCACATTTGGTCAATGGAGGACGCATCGGTACAGCTTCCAACGGTCTGTACATCAACAGATATACTGGAGAAAAAGATGGAGGTAAACAGCTTTCTTTCTTTTTACTATTCATTTAACTGCCTTGTGTTATTTCCATACGTCATATATGTTCGATACATTATGTTTAATATAAGGTATGATAATACTGACTTGGTATTTTAGGCAGAGGCATCGTGACTGTCACGCAAAAGGATTGCGTGATATCGAGCTCTGTAGCGTTAACAAAACACGAGGGAGCCAATTATCTCACTTACTTCAGGTATGTAAATACAACTAATGTATAAACATTTCTCTACATGAGGACACACAGTCTATATATGCAGTACTACTAGCTCGTGCTGGAGTAAGGTCTTTTGTTCGGTTTCACCAGGAGATCGGCTCCTAAGGCAAAAAGCACAGGAGAAAACAACACAAAAAAAAAAAATCAATTCAAATATGTCCTTCAGTAGGGTCAACCCGCCTAAAAGAGGCCTAAAGCTCCCTTAAAGGCTGCGTTCATGATTTTTGGCAGAAGGGGGGTGGGGGGGGGGAATTTGAAATGTTCAGAATAATTCGTAACACCCCCCTCCCTAAGTCATGCAAAAAAATAAGATCCCCCCTAAGCAAGGCTTGTAGCTTCTTCCAACAATTGTGTATCCCCCCATTTTTCTGATAAACATTTGCCCATCGCCCCCTTTTTACTACCAAAATTTTCCCGATCCCCCATCAATTTCACCTGCCCCTCCCCCCCTCCCCCCTCTGCCATACATTATGAACGCAGCCTAAACATTAGAGCAAGGGAAATGCCACTTTATTCTATGCAAACGATTCTTTATTAAAGAGATATGATATGCTCTTTCCCACAGCATGACTAACGTAAGCCTTGACTTTGAAGAAAACGCTTTCGACAAGCCAGACGAATGCCATAGTTTGCCAGGCGCTAAAGCTCGTCGATCTGTTGGGGGTATCTGGGAAAACATCCAGGGGGTGATTGACTCCATCTAAGACGAAACAATATGATACCCGCATATATATCCTATTCATGTATCCAAAAGACCGCGTGAGATTGGTGCTGATAAGCATGATAACGAGGTCAATTGTACGTTAATAGTGGGACGAATTAAAAAAAATGAATTTTGATTTGAATCATTCTGGTGTTTTTATTCTATAAATATACAATATTAAATGTTCACGAAAAATCAACAAAAATCTAATACACCTTTCTTTCTT